CAGTGGTGCGGCTGGGAAATGGAACCCTGCGTCGTGGCAGGAGCCATCTCCTTGCGTTTGGGTAGTGTGACAGAGGAGAGTCACCCAGTGGCGTGCTTGATGTGCTGGGATCCATAGGGAACCGGGCAATACTTCCTGCCACAGCAGGTCTCAAAGCTGCCCAGAAAGGACAAGAAGATCTCTCACTGGAGGCTCGTGCCTGTAGGTATGCAGGGGGCTCTTCAGATGCCCCCCATTGCACCTGTGTGGGTGCATCCTTCGGAGGCTGAAACCAACACTCACAGCATGGAAGCTGTGGAGAGCAGTGGGGCAGGACTGTGAGGTGGAGACTGATCCTATGGGCCGGGCATGGGCTAAGCAGAGACCTCTGGGCAGGGCTCCTCAGGGAGGTTGCTCACAGGTGAGCTGCTGAGACACGCTCCTGTCCCTCCGTAAGTTCACACAGAGCCTCTGCTAACGCTGCCTCAGCCTCTCTGCTGCTTCCGCAACCCTGAATCACCCTTCAGAGTCCTCCAGCCTGGAGAGCTGTTCCCGTTTGGTGTGTTTTCACTTCGCTCTCGGGCTGCCCTGGTGTTTGATTACTGTGTGGAGTTGACCTCAAGCTGCAGGATTCAAAGGCACATAAAGAGCTTCTTAGGCAATCCTGTAAACATGTTTCCCCCCTCCCAGATCTGGGGTAAAACGACATGCTGGCCCCCACAGATACCAGTAATCCTCTCACTCCTAAAATGTCTCAGGGATGGTAGGACCCCCTCAGTTTTTTTCCCAGTACTAAGCCAGGCATCGCTGCCTTCCAAACACAGACAGGGAAGGAACAGAACGTCGCTTAGAACACAGATTGCTTTGCAGATCCTTTCTCTGTCCCTGAACGCTGCAGACGGCCTGCGACCCAAAGGCACCTACGTCACCGAAGAGGACACGACCCGTGGCGTTGCCGGCCCAGCCAACCCCGAGGGAACGCGGCCTGCAAAGCGCAGCGCGGGCGGCCGGCGCTGCCGGGCGAAACCCTGGCAGCAGGCACGGGAAGCGCGGCCTTTTCCTGGAACACGGGCCAGCCCACAGTGCCGAGGAACGCAGCAGCCATGTTCCTGCCCTGCCTGTGGGAGAGCTTTCCTTGCAGCCCTCACCGCGGGATGTCCTAACGTGCGCTGCCTGCATGTTCGGGCTGGAACGACAAAGCACGTGAATGGGAAGCGAGACTCCCACCTTGCTCTCTCCTCTTTAGGCTGCTTCTGCTTTCCCTGCGTGTCTCCTTTGTTGTTTTTTTCTTCTCCCGAGTGCCCAGGTTATGCTGAGGCGGTGGAGGACGGGGGAGGGGAGGCAGCAGGAGCCCAGCCGGCAGCCCGGAGGAGGCCCGGGCAGGGCGAGCTGGAAGC